CCTTGTCAGTGATGCAGGACGGAGGGCCTGACAAGGGCAGCTGTCTAGTCCTTCGGATGAGACGAAAAACCGAGGTCCCGTGTATATATTGGAATGCACGTAAAAGATCCCCTGGCAGTTGGAATTCGATATAAGAGTAGGCGATAGGGCCGCTGCCCAGGCAAAATTTCCCTCATAGCACACTGTATGGCGTATGCCCGTCTTCATTAGCCCAGTATAGGAGCAGAACAGTAGGACGTTATACACCATTTCATTTCATTTTATTAAAATCGCAATTAGTAACTAGATAGAGTAAAAACAAAACACATAGTTACGGAAAACAGCTACTATTGTACATGTATTTAGCTTAATTTAAGGTGATGTTTCTTCGAGTATGACCGTGTCTTCACTGGCTACAATAAATGGAAAGCGAAAAACTATTTGTAAAAAATTAATGGAAGAGACTAAACATCAATATAGCCCCAAAGCCGTGGTTCTCAACCTTTTTTAGCCAACGGTACACCTTGGAACACACGAAAAAATAACGGCACACATGGCTAAATATATATGAAATATATTTGAATTTTGCAAAAATTCATATACGACATACAGTCGTAGACACAGACTAGTCATAGACACGTAGAATGAGTCAAACTAAATAAAGAAAAACACAACTATGAACTTACTTTATTACAGTGTTTCGAATTTCATCAGTCAAATAGCTGGCTTCTTTAGTGAGAAATTTTCTTAGTCTGCCGTTCAAAATTTCGCGGCACATTTAGGAGGATCTTGTGGCACACCTGTGTTCCGCAGCACACTGGTTGAGAATCACTGCTCCAAGGTCTGGTCTTCCTCCCTAGGAGAATATGTCATATTTTTGAAGCTATTTTCAAAATTTATGTGTAGATCAGGTTGGCGGCTAAGATACTTGGATGCCTTAGTAATATCAGAATAAATTGACAATAATGTAGGGATCAAATGAAATGGGGTTTAGTGCTGCGACTGGGCTAATGAAGACGGCTAATAATGTAGGGAACTACATGTGTAGGACACAGTGCATCATTTTTGTCCTACGCCGACACAGGGGTGAAGGTTGTTGTTAGTCTTTCTCTCTCTTTCCCCTTTTGCATGGCGATGTAGATTCTTTCTTATCAAATTTCGAGGATTTGTGGTACTTGTTGCATATATGTTACTTATAGAACAATAAAATGTTAATTTTACTCCTTTTCAGGCCTCTTTTATACTGCCAACTCTGTCCTAACTACTTTTTTTACTTCATTTTATTTTTAGGAAATTGGCATAAAGCTCCAGATTTTACTTCATTTTATTTTTAGGAAATTTGCATAAAGCTTGCTTCATCACCACAAGGAGTGACATTTGTATGATATCTCTTAGGTTTGAGATGTTGGAAACATTGAAATATATCCAAATTGTAAACATTGTGTATTTTGTGACCCTTTTGTTAGAGAGGGGTGATCAAAGACCAAATATGGCATTTTTCAATCATCAAAGCCTTTTTTTTAAAACCATAATTCATATTTATTGAAAGTATTTTAGATTATATACACATATGTTAGTCAGGGATGGTAAAGTGTAGCTGTTAGACAGATTCCTTTGGAAATGTTAGTTCTTTAACTAAAGATTAGATGGATTCAGGCGGTGACATGTTTAGAGGGTAAGGATACATGTCCAGTGTAGATCTTCAATATTACAATCAATACAACTGATACAACTTTTCTGTTTTTATATTGCCAACAGTTTCTAAAACGATATTCCTTTTGAGTTTGGCTATCTGAAAAGTGGAAAATCATTGGTATTTTGAAAGATGCTGCATGAACACGGCGGGGTATCTGGTTCATAATGCAATCTAGAGAAAAGGTCAAAAGTCAAAAGTAGAAAATCTGAAGAAAACGGGAAAAATCTTATCTAAAAGCCTATGGTATTTTATGTTGAAAACCTATAACTTTATGCACTTATAACTGCAAAAACAGCAAACTTTTCAACTTAAAGTAGCCAAGTCTCTAACTCAATATCATCCAAAATCTTCGATATTGAAAACACGATTTATTTGTCGGTTTAAATCAACATTGATGTTGTGATCTTACCTGGAAAAGATGGCCTTCTGATATCCAATATTTATTACAAAATAAACATATTACAGTTGGTACACGATTCGTGTACCATAATGCGTTTCAGAGCTATTTGTATTAAGGGACTCGAAAAACGAGGCTAGGCATATTCCACAACGAATGTCAAACGGCGACGCTATATTCTTATCTGGAGAGCATGCCCAATAAATACTATCGGCGTAGACTGGAATAACCAGACGCTAGAGATTGGAATTCGATTGAGAATACTGGCGTATTTCGCCGAACCTAACTGGTTATAAATTACAGTAAAAACAGAAACGATTGAATGTAAATCAATTTATATACATTCATATTACATTATTGTATGCGTTGCCACCCATTTGTGTCAATTTCTAGGTCTAGCGACTTAGCTTCTTTAATCGTCATAATTCTATTTTCATGAATGGACTGTTTTTCTACTTTCTACTATTAACTTTTGACTTTCTGCCTTGTACTTTCTACTGTCAACGTTTTACTTTCCACTTGCTACTTCAGATTTTTTACTCACGATTTTCTAACTCAGATTTTATTTGTGGCTGATACTGGCCATGTAATTTTCGCCCTTTTCATAACCCGACGAAACAATATAACGACAGTATTAGTAAGAGCATACGGACAAAGTAGACTTGGATATTGGTTTGTTGTCGTAACGTGGTGTTATCATCGCCTTAGTACGGTAGGCCTCATTACATCGTACAGGAATAGATGAAATAGATGAAAGAACTAGATTTTAACGTCTACTTTTCTACACCAGACGGACTAATGAACATGTGATCATGCGGAAGCTGATTACATAAATATAAATAAAGCCGGCACAAAAGAGATATATGTTGATAAGTTCATGTTTGCATACAAAAGTAAATTATATTTGATATATTATTCAACTAATCTCGAAATACAACAGTAGAACAAACGCTATTTAGCTGGCTTAATTCTTCAATAAGAAGTAGTATCGGTGATCCGAGTTTTCTTGGTTTTTGGCTTGTTAATTTATACGCAGTCGTGTCTAACATTACTGATACCAATGTATTGACTCAAAAGTTTTAGGACTTGAAACATTGAAAATATCTGCGTATTTTCAAACATCTGGGCATCGATTCTATTAGTTAGGACGGCAAATTTTAATTAGATAATGCTAAAGTCGAACCATACATTAGTCCCGAAATTACCCCATTTCTCTCTCTCCCTGACACCACTTTTCATTCGAAGATTTAAGATAGCTAACTAGATTTTGTTCTACTGCTGTATTTCATTATGTTGAGGAAACAAATAATAAATCAATATACATTTCTTTTGTTTATATTTATTTATTCAGTGTACTGTATAATCCCGTCTTCATGAATCCGGCTGGTGCTGAAAAGTAGAACTTAAACTTCAGTTCTTCCATTCATTCATTACGTAATGAGACCTACAATAGTGCTGGCAAAATTATATATTTCTGTGTTTTACCCCTTTTGTATGACGATCTTTGTTGACTTTTTGGTGTAGAATCGAAGAAAAAGGGTTTGAATGTACATTGTCTGTCAGGTTATGTTGAATATTCATGATTTTGGGGCGGAAAGATACCAAGTTGGTACGACGGGATGTTGCATGTTTTCTATGATGTACCTCGTACCTGCTTTTGAGCAAGAGGCTGACACGCTCTTCCATCTGTTTTCGAAAGCGTTCTACTCAAAGAAAATTTTAGAAAAAGTTAGAGCCGGTCTAAGAGATGAAAATTAACATTAAAGTCAATGGGTCATCTGTTGTCATCCAGTTACACAGGAAGGAACTATTGCTGTTGGACAGTATGGCGGTTCAGCCGACTGAATGATTAAAATATAATAAAATATCAGGACCTACACAACCGTTTATTAATATTGATAGTGCAATGAATATAAATATGTATAACATGTTTTTAAAAATAAATTTGATACTGCTTTATAATATGTATTATTCTTATAAATGTTGAAATTGTTCTTTTCTGTGTGATTGCTTTCTCTTTTCAGATCTGGTGAGAGTCATCCACAACAAGAAAAACTTTCTACATGTATATGATTTTAAACGCAAAAGTGAACTGTTACCGAGGACTAGAAATTTCTATGTTTTTGATATTACTGTGAAAATTTAGCTATCAATCAACTGGGCCTCCTGTTTTAACTTGGTTTTATTATGGCAAAGGGAGATGTGCAAGTTTTAATTGGTTTTGTTATGGCAAAGGGAGATGTACAAGTTTTAATTGAAAATTAAAGTTTTTGATTTGTAAATAATCCACATGTCCAGCTATGTGTTTTTACTGTGAGAATTTCGCGGATTCCGTTTTCACACGGAGCTTTTTGTTCTCCGCATTAATGATATCAACCAGCTGGACCTCCAATTTTAACTTGATTTTATTATGGCAAAGGGAGATAACCCGCCCTCTCCTCTCACGACAGCGAATTTTAAAACTTTTTTTTTTTAAAGTGTATTTTGATATCCAAGAACTTTCTTTTTTATGTTTTACAAATTCGCTGGCGTGGTTTCTATTCCCAGCTTGTACGTGACAAGGATTATGGTCGCCTGTTTAATCTAAAGACCCCTGGGCGCACGCGAATTAATGAAAACTATTGAACCATATGTTACCCTCGAAATGACCTAGTTTGTGTCGAGTGGACGTTAAGCAGGTAAGTAGTAGGGGTTGTACGTCCGCTTCCACATTGAGTGATATAGCAGACAAGCGTTTCCTAAGAAACTCGCCGGAGAAGCTACATAAAGGGCTTAGTCCAGCTAGGGCCAATCTGTAAATTAATGTCTATTTTTAAGGTCAATGCCAACAGCAGTAAGTCGAAATTTATGACACCTTCTGCTTAAATTTTCGAAACACAGATTTATTCTGTAGAGCTTGTTCAATCACTATTTGAAATAAAACACAAACACAATTCAATACTTTATTTTGACCTAAATCAGTTTAACTTGCCAAAGTTTAACTAGTTAAAGTATTTACATATATTATTTATAGTAACACAGTATGCATGTAACAAACTAAAATAATCTGAAAAACCAAATTTCATTGCCGATTATAAGGGTAATCTACAGCAGTACTTAAAGATGTATTATATGAGTTTAATCTGCTTATTGCAGATTTTTATTCTGCCTTCAACCGTTGTACAAGTTATTAAATAAACATTTATAAACATGACTAGAACAGCGCCGCCATTTCAAATTAGTGCCATATTGCTACGATAGTAAACAATGAACGCTACATTTTATGAAAACTTCAAATACGCATAACTTCTCACAAATTTTCAATTTAAGTTGAAAATGATATGATGATTAATTTCAGGGGACCATATCACCATTGTTCCCGTAATACTATATTTGGTAAATTAAATAGTCCCCTGCTAGAATATACAACTACATATACATAGAACACATAATGCGTATCTATGGAGGGGCCTATAATGCATTTTGCGGAAATCCACTCGTTTCACGAACCGTGGATCGATGTCGGTTACCATACACATTTGATTTTGTTTTTGGTTTTTTTCCAGAATGACAATAATGGTAATATTTTCGTTTTGGCAAGAATGGCTACATACATTAAATGCTAGGTTCCCACGATCACGATTCGCTCTACGATTGAAATTGTGGTTTTAATAATGTAGTAATCGTAGTGATCCTATCGGGTCTTATTATTGAGGTTAGTCGTACCAATCGCGTTGGTCTCATCGAAACATATCCGAACACATCTGCACGTACCAGTTCGTGGACTCTATAGGGACAATCGTATCCTAACGCATCGCACGACAGTGGGAACCAAGCATAATGAAAATCACTGAGTATTATATGACGGATTTGGTTAGATTTCACATTGATCCATTATACAAATTATGATAACATGTGAAATATGATAACATATTATTATGAAATATGATAACATATTATTATGAAATATGATAACAAATGATATTTATATGTCAGTTATAATGATAAATGATAATTGGTCCTATTGCAAACATTAACACATAGCTACTGTTTTAACTGTTATTATTTTATTCTGTGAATTAAAATTTAACTCGGGGTCTCTTTAGAGATTCTGAATATAGACACAGTCTTATTTAGAACTTCCATGATTTGCGATAAATTAGATTGGATATCATTTTATAACACTTTCTCGACAGAACAGTAATTTTTTTAAAAAATAAAATGGATTTAACATCATCATTTACTCTGATATGTCCTAAGGGATTTTGTTTATCTCCCCGATTTTTCAATCATTTATCACAGATATAAATTCAAACTAGTACTACGAGAAATAACAAAAACAGTGTAATGGTGATACATGTTTTCAATAATGATATCTATGAACGTGTTATTGTCACTATGGATTCATTGGTCCCGAGGAATGAAAAATTTGAACAGCATTTCATCAGACTTTGAATTAACAGCCATGGCCCACGTTATTCTATTTTCTAACAATAGATAGATGTCGATGACAAATGACCGAATTAACATCTAAAATACTTCCCGGTCAAGCGCCGTATTTCATTAAAGTTTTGTTCATGACGTCACTGCTATTTTTCAGCCTGGGCGCCATATTAAAAGTTCTTTTTAGGCTCATATTTACGAAAGTGGATTAGTGCTAATCTCTGATTTTTTCAACAGTCGAATTCTTTTTATAAACTCCGCGATTAACCTAATCATTGTTCGAGAATACCATGAGATATTCTGGAACGTTGACCTATACTTAATCTTTGACTAAATCACTCCAATAATTAGTAATTTCGGGGGGGGGGGGTAGTTTAAGGAAGGATTAAGTGAATGGATATACCATTACGATGAATTGAATTTTACAGAAATTATTATTTTTCATTGATTTCAGACATATTTCATATATGTTGTGCTTTGATAGCAACAAATTCAGATCACTGTAAATTTTGTTTTAAAAGATTTATAAGCTATTATAATTCTTCTCTATAATATGTAAAATTATAATAATAAACCGGATAAATAAATAAAGAATATTAAAAGTTTATATAAAATTGGCAAAACAGATCTTAATCTGACAGACGTTTTCATTGTAGCTCCCTCTCCCTCCATTAGAAGAAATTGTCATTAGAAAAGACAGGGCATACCCCACAGTTTCCGAGCCTGATGTAAAATTGATATTATTCCTGCGTTTCAATTGCGGGAGGAAATGAAATGAAATGGGGTTTAACGTCCTACTGTTTTGCTCCTAAACTGGGCTAATGCAGACGGGCATACGCCATACAGTGTGCTATGAGGGAAATTTTGCCCAGGCAGCGGCACCACGGCCTACTCTTATATCGAATTCCAACTGCCAGGGGATCTTTTACGTGCACGCCAATGTGTACACGGGACCTCGGTTTTCGTCCCATCCGAACGACCAGACAGCTGTCCTTGTCAGACCCTCCGTCCTGCATAACTGACAAGGGGAAACCACGTAATGGGTGCGTTTTAGATCACAAGGTCTGTCGTACGGTGTAAGGAGTAGGGTGGCCCATCCGACCTAGTGGATTTTCATTGGGACCTCGGGTTACCTTTCATTGATGAAGACCCTTTTGCGAGAGCGAATTATTGAAATGGAATTAAACCATACGTTAGTCCCGAAATGACCTAGTTTGTGTCAAGTGGAATTAAAGCCCACTTATCTCTCGCTCTCTCTTTTATTTTCTATTGTATTTGAAGAACAGGGTTGAATGTCGCAAGTGTGACTTTGATATCAGCTACATAAATTCATTGTTCGAATACATGTACTAAATAAATCCATACCCTATTTACTTGGCTTTCTTTTCCACTGCACCCTCGTTCTTCCCAGCACCCCCATTACTTTGCGGACGCCCGAGAGGACGATGTTCAGAAACTTGATTTTCTAATCTAGTTGTTCCTGTAATTGGGCCCCTTTTAGCAATGATAAAAACATATTTAATCACTGATTAAATTATATCAATGATGTTTTATTCATAATCAAAGTTTTAAAATGAATTTTAATCGCTGATTAAGAGAGTTTCTATCTGGTCAAAGATTAGCTAATCTGACTTTTGAGAACTTAATAAACCACTAACCTCTAACTAGCTAGTTGCTGATTAGTCCTAATCACAGATTAATTTAAACACTGTTCGAAAATATGGCCAGGGCATTATTTAGGTCAGGGATATCGCTTGAACTGTACCACCTGTATTTTTCTTCTAATATTTAGTCCTAGTCGCTTCCATCATTATCTATCGTTTGTCGATATGGAAAGATCTGGACTATCCCCTTTAATCTTACAAACTGGCAGTTCAATATTTTAGAAAGCTGTTGTTGACACATTTCCTTCTTTAATTTTCCGCAAAGAATTACATTTCCGAAACGAGAAGTAGACAAAATATTAGACTAGCTAGTAATTAGGAGTTCAAATGAGACAGCTTGAACCAGACACTTACTCTTTATGAATCTAACGGCAAGGTTGTATTTGTCAAAATGGCACCATAATTAAGAGTTAAGATGTTGGTCCATCTTCTATAAATTTGCAATAACTCGCTTAGCTAGAAATACACCAGCTGGATATCCAGACGCTTTTCAATTTTTCCCTCAATTTATCTCTTGTATTGCAACATCAACCGAACCCTGATTTAATCTCAGATATAGCAATCTTGATCTCGTCTTCGGGGATTATTCGCTGAATGAATTTTACTCAGCTTCCACATAACATAGGCACTCCATTTTTTTGCTTCTCGACGAAACGTTGCCGTAAACATGCCTGAAATATAGAAAGGTTTATACAATAGCTGACTAACAATTAATGTGAAAATTGTGTTCTAGCTGTTCTATTAAACGGCCAAGGGATGGGGGGATAGAATGTCCCAGGTTCGATTTCCGGAAATACATTTGCAAATTTGAGGCAACTATCTGAGCTTAGGACGGCCCCGCATTATCCACGGAAATATGATTGAAGCCTTCAAACGATCAATAAAATTAAATGAATTCAAAAGACTTTAAACGATCTATTCATAATAGAAAAACGACTTGTTCCGCACAAAACGTAGCCTTGCATACATATAAAGAAAATTGATTGAACAATGAGTTCAGGTACCAGCTTAACCAAAAACCTAATTTCTGTGCAGTATAAATTCCACCCAAGCGGGTTAAGGGTTATTTATATAGTTTCTGGGACCGGGACCAAATTTAGATACGTTTGACGTTTTCTGAAACTATTACACTATAGGGCAGTGGTTCCCTTAATGTTCAATTGAATGTATAATTCGTGTGGGTAACTCTAGATTGCCTGTGTTGTGTATGAGACTACACGATGTGCATCTCGGCCAATGAAACTTAAAGCTGCCCCGTGGTTCCTTTAAGTCAATTAAATGCAACGTTCGTCTATTTTTCGTTATTAACCAACATTGTTGTTTGGAAATTGCAATGTCAGTATTATTAGAATATTTATATGATTTACCACTACCATACTGTGTAGACAGGAAAAGCGAGAATAATCCAAGACATGAAATTGACTATTAAATATTTTTTTTTGTCATGATTTATCTGCTGTGGGCAATTTCCTCGCATGTACATAATTCCCTGTTTCCTCCAATTAACAGCTACGTTTTCATTTGGTCGCGTTAAGAGTTCCGTTCTCAGAATCGTTCCAGGCCGCGATACAATTCAAGATGATGTTTTTGCTGCTGCACTGCCTCAACTTAAAGGAGCTAAATCATTATTTGGGACCAAGAAACGCAGATAATGATATGAAAGTATATAAACTGATTAACGTTCAATCGTTCCGTTTTTATTCTAATTTCAAATCATTTATGTTCGGCGAAATACGCCAAAAATCGCAATTGAATGGCAATCCCTAGCGTCTGGTTATTCTGGTCTACATCAACAGTATTTTCTGCGCATGCTCTGCAGATAAGAATATGGCGTCACTGTTTGACATGACTTGTGGAATACGTCTAGGCCCGTTCTTCGAATTCCTTGTTAGAAATGGCGCTGAAACGCATTATGGTACACGATTCGTGTACCAATGGTAAAATGTTTATTTTGTCTTAAATATTGGATATCAGAAGGCCATCTTTTCCCGGTAAGATCACAACATAAATGTTGATTTAAACCGACAAATAAATCGTGTTTTCAATATCGAAGATTTTGGATGATATTGAGTTAGAGACTTAGCTACTTTAAGTTGAAAAGCTAGGCCCGTTCTTCGAATTCCTTGTTAGAAATGGCGCTGAAACGCATTATGGTACACGATTCGTGTACCAATGGTAAAATGTTTATTTTGTCTTAAATATTGGATATCAGAAGCCCATCTTTTCCCGGTAAGATCACAACATCAATATTGATTTAAATTGACAAATAATTCGTGTTTTCAATGTCGAACACTTTGGATGATATTGCGTTAGAAACTTAGCTACTTTAATTTAAAACAAGATAGTTCGTGTCAGATGTACCATTAGAATTGATGATGTCGAACGGATGTTTTTCCTTCTCTAAAAGACAAGTTATCACAAAGAAAGGAAATATAAATGCTGTCAGTTTGAAAGTGTCTCATATTCTATATAATGCTCTGGTAATAACACACCTTAGTGTAATTACTAGTTAATTAAAATCGAACAGGTGGAGTCACCACACGGTCAATTTATCATATATCTTAACAGAAACAGTTAAGACCAACACACAGTTTAGCTTCAGTTACATTCCAGCCCTGGGACAAATAGGTCAGAAGTACTGGTCAAGGTAAGCTGACTCGGAAAAACGTCTGGGTGAGCACAACCCTTTCCTACCTTAAAATTGTCCAACATACGCGATGTCATCAAATCATTTACTCCTCTTCGACTAGTTAAAAGCTAGCACAGTTTCACAAAGTGCAGGGAAAGAAAGGAAACGAGTAGGGATGTTTTGGTCATTTTCCAAATTCAATTGTTCTTTCACATGCAGGTTAGTGGCGGCACGGTTAGACCTCGGTTGAGTCCGAACAATTACTAATTTAGGGGAGCAAATTTCGTGATTTGCGATTAAAACATTATGAAATTAGATAGGAATGGACTGGAGTTTAAAATCTCACCAACCTGATGTCTCGGTCATTTGGACTAAGATATGGCAAATATATTTCTATGGTTACGTGGGCAATGTCGGGGAAGGATAGGGGTGGGCGGGGGTCAACAAAATGGCTAATGCTCTGGAAGATGCATCCCGAAGGTGTGGTCGGTCTTGCCACAATTCTATTGTTACATTATTGCCGACATCGGCGAATCTTTAGTTGAAGCCATCGTTAGCTTCCATTTTGACTATTTACACAGTCACATATTTTTCTGATGTCGTGATGTTTTTTCCATGGAACTGAGTTGTAAGAGCGCTAATGCAGACGGCTAATAGTTAAACCGAGTTGTGGAAAGTTAACCATGGGCAACAGGCTTCGAGTTGTAAGAGGAGCCCAGGTTGACCATTTTCAGTTGAAGCCAGTTGCCGAACTGCCAGTTGCTCTCAGTTGTAAGCCCGATATAGCCCCACTTAAAGAGTTGTTATAGCTACCAAAATGTGTATTATTCTGATGTAGCAGCATTGTATTTTTTCGGGACCAGTAATTTGGGGCGACAACTGTTCTCTGCTGCCTGGGCACTTGAAGGTTATAAACACCGGACACAATTTCATTTTCTTTGAAAACACTGCTTATTGTCGAAAAGTATGTCAAATGTGCATTGTTTTGTGTTTTTCATATAGTTGGTGGGGCGAGATACAACTGCAAAGGTCGCTACAGGCAGCATAAATATACGTACAGATCTTACCATAGACTATAGGGTCCATACACGCATTAGATACAGCAAACAAAAATAAACCTCGTTGTACTTTAGGATCTACTTTAGAGGCTGCGTCTCTGGAAAATAAGAAAATTATAGGAAATTACTAATCCTGGTATAATTAGGTATAATGTAGTTATTATAGGGATTATTGTACATCGACAGGAACATGCTATCTTCCTGAATATTTAACAGGCCTGTACAAGAAAGGTTCCTTTTCTTATTTACGTTATAATTTGATACATATCAAATATCACTGCGATAGTATGGTTTTAACAGAAATATTTTTCGGATTGCGTAACGATTAATGCATCTTGTCAAAACAGAAACAATGTCGTATCTGAGCAAATACGTCGTCGTCAGGATTGTTATTCAACTTATTGAAACCTACCTATCAAACCACCATAATGCAGCCATAAAAAAATAAGGCGTCCAACATAATATAAATACACTAACTGAAAAAGAAGTAAATATATTGTATTGAGCCAGGAATTCAAAGTTTACATAAGTGTTAAAATATTTCCATAATAGGAAATAATCTACAGTCACGATATTAATGTTAGGTATTATGTATGGGCTCACAGTGGCTATTAATCTGAGTGCCAAGACCAAATCAATAGTGGTGACTGATTCCATATATTTAGCAGGATTCAATAATCATATTGATCGAAATACTAATGATACATGTATTTCAACTACCAAAAGTATACTAACACGTTTGCCATTTGTCGGGCGTTTTTCTGGCTTCAAATGTTATATAAATTATTATTTAGACATTTATTTATATGGCCAGCCTATAATCAACTCGGTGGGTTGGATGGCCGAATGGTTAGCACGTGCACGCTGTATCATAAGGCCTGTCATTGAGTCAATTCCGTGGTTTCGATTTTAAGGTTTACGTGACAAGGAGTAGGGTCGCCTGTCCAACCTCGTGGGTTTTCTCCGGGTCATTCGGTTTCCTCCCACTGCCAAAGACCCCTGCGCGCGAGCGAATTATTGAAATAAAAATGAACCATGTCTTAGTCCCGAAATGGCATAGTTTGTGTCGAGTGGGCGTTAAACCCCATCTCCCTCTATAATCAACTCTATAGATCGTCGGATCGCTTAGATATTGAGTGGATTAGACGAAAACAGCCATATCTGCGTTAATCGAAACTTCATTTGTTATCCTGTCTGACAATCGAGGACATGAACAGTCAGTGGGGTCCTGTCTGCAAACAATCGGAGATAATGTATGGGTATTTCTTGTCCAAACTTTAAACTTCACTGAGTATAATGAAATTGGACTGAAATTATCAATATTTTATTTTTCATTATCTATTATTGAAATAGTACAACGGCTAGCTTTTTCTCTAAATCTTGCTTAACGCATCTTTAACGTGTTGGGTTTGTTTGTTTGTTTGTTAATAAGAAATGTTTTATTTTCTCCGAAGAGATGATCCATTTATCAATAGCGGATTAAATAATTGTTAAAATGAAATTACGGACATTAGTCTCTATGTAGCCTATCTGTGTTCCGTGTTTGGCTTATACACAGCTAACAGTAATTTTGTATTTATTCTTATCTGCCGTTCATTAAGGTATTTTATAACTTTTTTTGTGCCATTGTGAAAGTCTCTTCCAGTCATTTTGATTTTGGATTATCTTGGTTTATGTTGGGCAGTTGACGCTGTCTCTCTGTTAGACTCGACGACAAGGCTTTTAAATGTAAACAATATAACTTACCTATCACTAACGTCATTTTAAGTGTTCTTATTTTTGCTTTCCCAATCTTTCCAGCCGATGAACATCGTATTGTACCACGACTTCCTCGGGAACCTCTTAATACTGGAACTTGGAAAATGAAATATTGAAAGTACACACGAAAAAAAAGTACCTTTCGCATTAGAGGTTTGAAAAAATGAACAATAGAATAACAATTTTTCATTAGTAGTGTGAGGCTAAATCCCTGTTTTGAATTCATTGTTCTGTTGACTAAGACCTATAGGTTTTTTTTAAATTGCAGGTGTATCTTATCATCGGAATGAAGTGGCCGTAGGATGGTTGTCAACTGCAAAACTATTAATAATTTTTTACAATAAAAAATGGAAATTATAAAGAATCCCGCACGGATCTTTTTTATATCAAATATATCAAGCTGATAAGTTTTTAAAACCAGTGGTTACCATTCAAAATACGCCCACACTTTACAAGAGATGGACAGAAAACAAGCTAAAAAAACAATGATTTTACGTATAATCGAGAACAAGCTAAAGAAAAAAATGCGATTTGACATATGCGCGAATATTGACATAATATTGGATATAAACATAAATTCAAACTCAACCACTATTAAGGTGTAACGGTGATATATTTCAACGGTTTTTTTAAATCGGGTAAAAATTGTGACCTCTAGAGGGTCCACAAGCTAAGAAAACGTGATTTTTCGGACAGTCAAGGGTCATTAACCAGAAAGTTACGGTCCGATATGCGCCAATATCTACAAGAACATACATTTCAAGTTCCATCAAAATCGGATGAAAATTGTGAGCTCTGACTCGTCAGGGGCCATAATTTGTGAAGTTAGGTTCGATACATGCCAGTTTCGTCAAAATCATATTACAATTGTGTCCTGTAGATTGTCCGTAAACAAATGTGAACGGACAGACAGGGGCGACGACAATATACGTCCACATGAAAATGTGGGCGTATAAAAGATGCAGCGTTCTTTTTTATATAATCAACTAGTGTGGATATACATATTATGCAACAGACGAATGTGAGATTTTGTTAATAAATTTTCAAACAAATGGAGAAGATATGTCCATCGAAATTGAAGTTTTAAAGGCCATCAAGCAGTCATGTGACCTTTTTGTCATTAATCTAACCCAAAACGCACTATTACGTTAGCACACTACACAATCATGCATGATTTGCATAGAAGGGTACCGCTGCCAATATTAAATGCTCTGCGACAATGTTGTTTCCATCGATAATATGTAAAAAGTGCAATGTACAAAGTCCTAATACCAATAATGATAAAGTAAAAATACCTCTAACATATAGTCAATGGAAAAGGCATTGTAGCAGAGCATTAATATTGGCAGCGATACCCTTCTACAGATTTGTTAAAAGTGGTCAATAACAAAAACAAAACATATGGCACTTTATATATATATACCTCATCCTTTTTATCGAACTTTACTAGAACTGTGACATATTGAGGAAAGGGCTAATTTTTATTTTTGACCATTTTAACAACAATTCACGCTTGACATCCACCCTAGCCATATGCGGCACATCGTGGTCTAACTTGGAGCGGTAAATGCATGTCTTTAGTATGAAATGATTTTTTAAACCTCATTTTGTGATCCATCCCCTCTACTGTATGGATATAAGATCTCCTTGTCATTAATAGTTCAGAATAATTAGGTTTATGTTTCATAAAATATTTGAGAAAATGTTGTTTTTTTAATTTCTGGCATCAATTTTCCTGGTAGTTAACATATGTCCTGTTAATGTACGAGGTGCTATAAATAATTTACTTTTTTAAATATTATAACCCAAAAATCATTCTCAATATAAAAGCTATTACCAGTGTCTGAAATCTATCACTCAAACTAGCCTTCTTATAATTTAGTATCTTAAAAAAATAATAACTTATACTAAATGCCGTCTGTATACCTCTATTTTGTATAATATATAGGAGATTATATTACACTAATCTGAGTGGTGAGAGAGAGAGAGAGAGGGGGGGGGGAGGGGGTAACACCCACTCGACACAAACTAGGTCATTTCGGACTAACACATGGTTCAATTTTATTTCAATAATTCACTTGCGCCTAGGGGTCTTTAGCAGTGGGAGGAAACAAGAGGACCCGGAGAAAACCCATGGGGTTGGACAGGCGACCCTACTCCGTGTCACGTACAAGCGGGGAATCGAAACCACACCAGTTTACTCAATGACAGACTTTATGATACAGTGCGCAGGTGCATTCGGCCATCCAACCCCCCGAGTTGATTCTATAGGCTTGCCATAAAAATAAATGTCACAACCGGGGAATCGAAAAAAGAGTGAGGTTATGATGTTAAACCTCCTGCAGTTAATAAAGGCATACGTTTTCGTAGAGCCTCGACATTTAGACAAGAGGGAGAAGGGGGGGGGGCATTGTCACCCGAGTGGGGGCAAAATCTGAGTTAACTTTTCTAGAGGCATTTTTCGTGAGGAATCCGAATCTGGTAGGTAAAAAGCCAGGTGAGGGGGCGTTTCCGAGATAATCGAGGTCAAAGGTCACGGAAGGCCAAAAAACGAAAGAAACGTATAGAATTCAAAATCTGTTCAGAAAAGGGCCGAAAATCATTGATAACAGCAATGAGACAATTATAATACAGTAATATAATAATAACAATGAGCAGCGATGACACCTGCATACCCGTGACGTCATCGGGGTCATGATTCATGATATGTGTTGGGATGTCATTTAGCAGTAGCCCCTACATCAACCACGATATGAAAGTATTTCATGTTGCTGTGATCTGCCATTTTTTGTGACTGATAAATACATTCCGTGACAGTGGCGTAATCGGTGATCGGACGCATTATGGGAGGAATAAATGTCATATCAGTTTTCGGTCTCATCGGGTTGGCGTACTGGACTATTATGTGTCCACTGAAAGTCGGCACATCTTGGTGCTGAAGTCCGGAATTGTTTCTCATGATCTTCCAAAGAAATAATTCACGTTCCTGTTCACGAATCGCCAATGTCGACTGGTCATTGTGATGAGAGTCCGGAAGTGCGGGTGGCGGGGCGTGAGGATTGAGCTTCACGGCCGGGAGTGGCAGAGGTCGAGAATGGTACTCTCTCTTCTTTTCAATATCAGAGCTAGGGACTGAGCTGCGGGCTACCGTGCCAGTGCCGCGCTCTTGCCAACCTATCCCGTGTGTCGTGTGAATCCCCCCACTCGTGTTCTCTTTTGTCTCATCATAATTATCCCACCAGAAAATGGTGCGGACGACGTCATTCTCTGATTTTGGGATTAGGGGCAAATGATATCCATTTTCGGACATTTTTCTCGCCAGTTCGCCTTGTCCGGCTTCGATGGTTCTGACTATGTCGTACTTAACGCAGTGCCCAAATCTGGCCAAGATTGTGATCGGGATCTTTTGTCCGGTGAGGCTGTGCAATCCTGCGCCCATCATGACGTGTTTCTCGGTGAGGAAGGTACCGCCCGAGTAACCATACAAAATGTCCTGTGCGAAGGAATTTGACAAAAGTTTTCCTTCTGCTCCAGGGGAGTCATGAATCTTCTTGCTGTGCAGTAGATCTAAAATGAAATTGCTGAGACGGCTTGGCACTTTGCGGTCGTCCCGTCCAAGTGCGTCGGGGGTCGGTGGCCAGGGCAGGGCAGCAGCATTGGTAATTATGTCATCCATTTGTGTCTTGAGAACTTCCCGTACCCGATCGAAGCACATGTTGTCATTATTTTTCACGAACGCTTTAGCATCTACGTTTGTAACGGACGACAAACTTAGTACCATTTGAACGGCGTGGTAATCCACTGTCACAAACAGTAATCGGGCTGGAAACAAACGCTGTAACTTATCTTTCACCTTGCCCCTTCTTCTGTTGTCATCGGGATCAAACCCATATATCGTAGTAAGAAGAGGCAACGGCACTGATCTTCCGTTGTCAAGAACATGTTCTTGCACGAAGTCTCTGAGGGCGGTCATATTGTCGGCGTTCGATTGTTCGGATTCGTCATTATCATCTCCAGGAGCTCTCCGATTACGTGACACATCCCTCGTGTAATCCCGGAAACATTTTCGATGCATCCTGAACTCTCTCGCGATGAGGTCTTGGTCCCGGATTTTCGTGAGTATTTCTTCGTCGGCGGATGCCACTGCCGCTTCCCAAATAGACTTGCATGCATCCTTCGTGAAAAGTTGAATTGGAAACTGCTTTTCCCCCCCGATGTATTATCGCTTTCTCCGACAAGCATTTTGGATTCATACAGTGTTTAGGGAAAAGTACAGTGTTTGGGGTTGAGCTTTCGCGTCTTTTCTTTCTGGCGGATGGAGTACCGTTCGGTGACTTCCGTGCGACATTCGATTTCTTTGCAGCCATAGAGATAGCCATGGTGTACCTCTTATAACATGACTGGTGGCATGCATAAATACCATTTTCAAATGTGGAAGGTATGGTCTTACCTTGGGAATGGTGAATATTATCTCCTCCAAGCTGTAAACGGGCCTCCTTCGCTTCAAGTAATCGGTTGTACTTATGCAGTGTCAGCGGTAGTGAGTTTTCATCGCTAGGTCCGATTCCCTTGTAATGCACAACACAATTTGAAACACTCATCGTGAAAAACGCTAATCCACTAATTCCCATTCATCAATTACTAAGCCAGTAAATCGTTAAGAATTATAATATTTTGAAACAAGAATTAACAAAATTTGAAAGAATGAACACGATGTGTATATCTCTGTTACCGTATGCAGGCAGATGGGTAATGGCTGTATAGGGGATTAAGACAGTACATTCTTGTACACTAAAGATAAACAAATAATAAGACAATATAGGTCATCCAAATCATGACTTATAGTATACCATGCATATATTCTAAGGATTTCGCCGATTTCTGTATGATATCAATGAATTTGTACCCAATATTTAGTTCAATTCGCAATTCCAAGCGGTTTTGTCGTTTTTTTGCCTTCCGTGACCTTTGACCTCGATTATCTCGGAAACGCCCCCTCACCTGGCTTTTTACCTACCAGATTCGGATTCCTGACGAAAAATGCCTCTAGAAAAGTCAACTCAGATTTTGCCCCCACTCGGGTGACAATGCCCCCCTCCTCCCTCTGGTCTAATTTGGCATTTACTCATTATATGGATGTTCTCGTGCTAGTCGATCTGAATAAACAGCAACACAGAATTTTCTTATACTTATTTTTTCTTGAAAAAAAAATTGAAAATAATAGGACATAACTATATGGCATAAACGCAGATATTGTTAAAGTTAAATGCGTTGCTAGACAACGGTACAGAAATTATCTTCGTTTCAGTTCAATTTGGCGTAAAAATAAAAGGTGCTCTTAATGATATCTTCTGTAAATAAAGATACTTTACTATTCGTGTCGTAAGAAATGAACGCCAATATCGTTTTAATCCGCAAAATAAATGCTTACCATGTTTGTACACGACAATATCAGATTTCCGCGGTCCGCATTAATTTGTTGAAGTCGAAGGTGTCAAAATGAAGACGGGCATACGCCATACGATGTGCTAAGAGGAAAATTGTGCCTTATGTCGAATTCCAACGTCACACGGGTTCTTTTATGTGCACGCCAATGTGTAAACGGGGGCCTCAATTTTCTGTCCTTTGGTAGGCCTTGGTGTCAAAAGAGATAAAAATGAAAGGGAATGGGGTTGACCAGCCTATTGTACTTGGCCACCGGGATAATGAAGACCGACATACGCCATGCAGTGTGCAACGAGAGAAATTTTGCTCGGACAGCGGAGTTTGCGCCTACGCTTCACCGAATTTCAACTGTCAGGTGTTTTATGTATCAAAATGACAAAATTGAGTAAATGGGCTACAGGGGAAAACATTTAATCGTTTTTGGATCTGTTTTCCATACATTGTCTCGTGCACATCACCTGCGATTGGGGTATAAAACTGAGAACATACCCGGTATGTACAACAGCACATACCCTATATAAATGTGTTATCTATAATATTTTTTGTCTGCGATATCACCTCGGTGAAAGCGGGCGTTAAATACAGCTATTTCACACACGCAATATGTTTTTAAGATCGGGGTGGGGCGTTAAACATGGGTGTGTAGGTTTTTCAGATTCAAACTATCAAACATTCGCATTTCGACGACAACAGTACATCCCTAGTCTTTCGTTAAATCGAGTGGGGATTCGTAAAGCTGTTTGCGACCCGAATTTGGAAAGATGATCCTTATTCGGATTCTTGGCAATCAAACAAATCCTTATCAACTACACACACACACTCTAAAATCACATTAACTAAACCAAAGCCCCAGTTAACAGTAAGTAGTGACGGGTGTCGTGTTCGAGACAGGGTATACTTACTCGTTCTTAGGACTTCACCTAGCTGAAAAACCTGTCTTGTACTATTGCATGTTTACTTACGTCTGTTTTTACAAAGACGAGGAATATAATAGACCGGTACTTACTATGTCTCTCCCCTTTTACCATAGTTGAGTTTCTGTATATTTTACACAAAATTAGACAATATGACGTTGTTATCACTACTAATGGCATCACATACACTGTTATAACGTTAAATAAATTGTAGGCCAACTCGTGACTTTGGGACGGAAAAAAGTTGAAAGTAACACATTGTTCAAACCATGTAAACACTGGATGTTGCTCTACGTGGAATATTACACTCTGAAACATAGAAAGATTGTTTTTTTTTATTAAACATACATTATGTAAGCTTTAGATAAAGAATTGGCAGTTCTTACTAGAATAGTTCAAAAATAGATAATGCAGAATGAATATATTTAAAATTTCATTCAAATTACTTTATTCTGGGCGAAGTTATCACCTTTAGTAGATTTGACAAGATGTTGGCATTGATTGTTGATTATCGTAACCACGGGCGGGTTATTCGAGGCTTAGCCCCGCTTCTTCATTTTCATGTGGACGTATATTGTCGTCGCCCGTCCGTCCATAATTTATCTGTTGACTCTACAGGTCGAAATTTTCATCCGGTTTTCACGAAACTTGAAACATAGGTTTCTATCCCAAAGGTCCCTGATTGTACGAAAACGTCACAAATTGTATCCAATGTTGATGAAATTAAAATCGACAGATCTCGGTTTCTGTCGATATTCGCGCATACGGACCCTAACTTCCTGGATTATGGCCTCTGATTATATGGAAAATAACGTTTTCAGTTTCTGGATTAAAAAAAAGTTTAAATATATCACCGTTACACCATAATGAAGGCCGAGTTCGTATTTCGTAAAAATCGGACCGAAACTGCCCAAAAAAAATGATCGCTCCCCGTACGCAAATTGTGTAAAAGTATGTAATACCAAGGTGGTGGACCATAAAGAGGTCATATCTTTTATCCGATTTTGATGAAACTTTAAATATATTTTGTTTATACGCCAAAGTTCTTGGTTCCTTTTTCGATATTCGTGCATATCGGAAAGTAACTTCCTGGATTATGACCCCCCCCCCTCCCTAAGTTTACGATGTTCACAATTTTTATCCGATGTTTTGTTTTTTTTAAAAAAAAAAAACAACGTTTAAGCATATCATCGCTACACCATATTGATAGATGGGTTTGAATTTCGTGAAAATCGGACCGAAACTGCCTGACACAATGGCCGCTCCCTGTACGCAAATAAGTATGTGGACCAGCTAGAGGTCACGATTTTTATCCGATGGTGATGAAACTTAAAATATATGTTTATATCTGGGTACCTTTCGTCTATTGTTCGTATTGGGTCGTAACGTCGTACCACCAGGGACCATAATCCAGGAAGTTATGGTCTAAAATGCGCGAATATCGAAAGGGACTGAGCTTTTTGGGATATAAAGATATATTTTAAGTTTCATCAAAACCGGGCAAAATTTGTGGCCTCTCGAGAGTCCACAGTCTTCGTATTACATACTTGTACACAATTTGCGAACAAGGAGCGGCCATTTTGTCGGGTAGTTTTGGTTCGATTTTCACGAAATTCAAACTCTACCTTCATTAGGGCGTAACTGTGATACATTTAAACGTTTTTTTAAAATCGGATAAAAAGTTGTGACCTCTAGAGGGTCCACCAGCTAAAAACGTGATTTTTCGTACAATCAGGGGTCATAATCCAGGAAGTTACGGCCTGATCTGCGTAACCAAGATTTTTGGGCTATAAACATACATTTCAAGTTTCATCAAAATCGGATAAAAATTGTGACTTTTAGAGTGTTTACAACCTTGGTATTACATACTTTTACACTATTTGCGTACAAGGAGCGGCCATTTTGTCCGGCAGTTTAGGTCAGTTTTTTTTACGAAATTCGAAGTCAACCTTCATTGATGTGTAACGGCGATATATTTAAACGGTTTTTAAAATTGAATACAAATTGTGAGTTCTAACGGGTCCACAAGCTAAAGATGCGATAATTCAGTAAGTTAAGATCCGATATGCGCAAAAATAGAAAAAAAAACAAGACCTTTGGGTCCACAACCTTGATGTACCATATTTTTACACTTATTTGCGTACGAGGGGCGGCCATTTTGTCCGGCAGTTTTGGTCCGATTTTCAAACAATTGGAACTCCACCGTCATCTGGGTGTAACGGTGAAATATTCAAACGTATTTTAAATCGAATAATATATGTGAACCAAAGAGGGACCACGTGCTAAAAATGCGATATTTTGTACAATCAGGGGCCATAAATCAGGAAGTTACGATCCAATATGCGAGAATAGTAATAGGCACCAAGATCTGTGGGTTATAAACACGTATTTCAAGTTTCATCAAAATCGGATCAAAATTGTGATCTCTAGTGGGTCCACAACCTTGATATACCATATTTTTACACTATTTGCGTACGAGGGGCGGTCGAACTCAACCGACATTACGGTATAACGGTGATATATTCGAACGTTTTGTTTTAATCAAGGGCCATAATTCAGGAAGTTACGATTCGATATGCGCGAATATCGACAGGAACCCAGATTGTTGTGTTTTAAACACGCATTTCAAGTTTCATCAAAATCAGATGAAAATTGTGACCTTTAGAGTGCTCGCAATCTAAAAACGTGATTGTTCGTACAATCAGCAGGGGCCATAATCCATGAAGTTATGGTCCGATACATGCAAATATCGAAAGGAATCGAGATCTTTGGGAGAGAGGCCTGTATTTCAAGTTTCGTTAAAATCGAATAAAAATTGTTTTCTGTAGAGTGTCCACAAACAAATTGCGGAAAGACATGAAAATGTGGGCGTATAAAAATGAGAAGGGGTTCATTGTCATTTTCTGTGCACCAACCGGGCTAAAGAAGACGGCCATATGCCATGTAGTGTACCGCGAAGAAAATGGTATCAATACAGCGGTTTTTCCGCATAATGTTTGTAAAATCTATACACTGTCAAATATTGTCGGAGCGTGCACCTATGATATAACAAAGTGAAATGCCCCTGGAAACAATTATCAGATCAGATAATGACTTTCAAGCTGGATATGTGCACTGGAAATCGCTGACACCCAATAGGTTTCTTCGTCTCAGTAATGTAAATAAAATGTATATCTGCAGTAGTCTGTAGAGTGTTTACAATAATTTTTGGAAAATGGACCAACGGCAATATACGCCAACATATCAATTTGGGGTTTTAAAAATGTCAGTTGAAACCGGAAAGATCATTCACAACTGATCCATTAAAGGGGAAGACCAACGATTTTCAACAATGTTTCCATAAACCTATTTATTGATAAATAATCCCCTCTGTAGCACAAGCAAACCAGTTTTTGTAAGTAAGGAATTAATTTTTATTCAAGCCGGAAGTGACATAGTTGGTTCAACACCCTCACTGGGCTCTATAGTAAGCATACAGATTTGGCATATTGTATTCACTCGTCGCCCTTTGGCCAAAAATGTGATCAAATGGGCTGTTTATTAGGATATTATAAATACGAATTTATGTTTTTTTAATGTTTAGTACACAAAGCCGTCGCGTAAATTCACTCAAACTGAACAGTACGCTGTGCCTCAATTCACGCCACATGGCTAATTGTTTACATCACGTGGTTTGATTGACATCTTGCAAGTGACATGTGTTTCGTCTGCTTCGATGTTTTTGTGCTTGCTGACAGCGTTTTTCAACATAAACAGATCAAAATTATGGACATGCGAGACACATAATATAGTGCATTTTGGCACATAATGTCGACGTGAACGGATTTTCTTTTTTTCTTCCATTTCCTCTTGAGAATGGCTGGGCTCGAATGTTTATACGGCATTACTGTAGACCTATAGAAGAGTTATTTTATATCCAATACGTTGGTGTCTGACGTTGACATATTTTGGAAATTTATATATTTATTTGAATATATATATATATATATGTGCCACAAGTCCGTTGAAATAAATAAAAACACTGTCAGCAGACGAAGCACGCACAAAAACATTCAAGCAGACGAAACATCTCTCACTTGCAAGCTGTCAATTAAACCACGTGATGTAAACAATTAGCCATGTGGCGTGAATTGAGGCATAGCGTACTGTTCAGTATGAGTGAACTTACGCGACGGCTTTGTGTACTAAACGTTAAAAAAACATAAATTCGTATTTATAATATCCTAATAGACAACCCATTTGATCAGATTTTTGGCCAAAGGACGACGCGTGAACACAATACAGCAGTAAACTTGTGCCAAATCTGTATGCTTACTATAGAGCCCAGTGAGTGTGTTGAACCAACTATGTCACTTCCGGTTTAATAAAAATTAATTTCTCGCTTACAAAAACTGTTTTGCTTGAGTTACAGAGAGGATTATTTATCAATATATATTTAAGATTTATGGAAACCTTGTTGAAAATCGTTGGTCTTCCCCTTTAATTCCCTGATTTATTATTGTAAGCTACATAAAAACACCATTTCCGGCATAGTATATACTATTTAAGCGAACTTTTCAATTAACAGACAGAAAATGCTGAGTGGCAATTCATTCCGAAACAAAATCCATCTCACGGGACTCTAAAATCGAAAGATGACAATCTTGCAATTAAAATGGAAGATGCGAATAAGCATCTATACCATAGAACACAAAAATAGAAAACTTTCTTCGATTTCTTTTTGAGAAACGGTGACAGTTAGTTATCCGGCAATTGTGTCGAAACTACATAAATACGTTGCCTACGTTCCTCGAAACAACGGCTTGTTAACTTTAGAACAATCTTAGTGATGGGAAAAGTGTAATATCATATGTAAGGTACACTGCTGTACCATTTTCATCTGGTACACTGCTGTACCATTTTCATCTGGTACACCTTTGAGCTAATCTACCCCAAAAATTCCTGGCCAGAATGCCAGGAGTTTTACGCCTGTCTACACAAATTTCGGCCATTTTCAGCCTAACGTACATTTCATTTTTTATAGTCAAATGTGTAATGCTAAAGAGTTGGTGGATTTTGCCCAACAGTTGCGTATTCGTCTGCTTTTCCCCGAATTCTAACTGACCTCCAGTGTACATGGAACGCTACGCCACACCAGTCATCCGCCTGTTATACCCCCATCAGACAGGAGTGGCGTCCTTACTGCGTTGCTACGGCGACGGAAAATAGTCTCAGAGCGCGTCAAGATCAAAACAAACTCCAAGGTTCTGCGATCCGACCTGAAAGTTGTGAGAACGCGGTGGGGTCGCAATCTTATTAAAATACAGATC